ACACAACTATAAAACAGCAGACAGATGAATGATTTAAAATAAATACTTGCTTACAAAACGATGCCATCTGGGTTCAACAATAGACAGTCACACATGTCGTGCATACAGAACGACACACTGGAAACCGAGCTGGATAATATCTGATCATATGAGAGCATATCTGATTCATTCCTGTTCCCATCAGCAGCTTTCCTCATTGAAACTCATTGTTTTCCAGCAAGTACGCGCGGGTAGAACATCCTCCAACAACAAAACGGGACCCCTGTCTGCCGAATGTTAGAAAAATATCTCAAGTAGTTCAGTGGGTGTTTAATTCATAAGGTGATAAAGATGAAACGTTGGTGATGCACGACAAATTTTAAATAAAATGATATCTACACTCATCGTACGAAGTTTATTCAGACTGTATCAACTTTTTTTCTAAGAACACATATGTTAAAGTTAACGTGATCACCACCTGACCACCATCTGACCATCATCTGACCACTATCTGATTCCGATCTGACCATCGACCTTCATCTGACCACCCCCATCTGACCACCACATGACCACCACCATCTGACCACCATCCGATCACATGTGACCAGTAACAGCCCAAAAAAGAAGTTTCCCACCGAGAAAAAACAACTAATACGTCAAACAAACAACACAACAACAAAAACACGACGCAATATTAGTCAGTACGGAGTTGGATCAAATCCAAATAAATGGAATTAACAACTGATCAATATAAACCTCCAAATGATTAACATAAACCTCAACATGATTAACATAAACCTCAACACTATTAACATAAACCTCATGTTATGTTAAAACTTCTTTAATCATAAACCTCAACATGATTAACATAAACCTCTAACACGAATAGCATACACTTTAACATCCACATGAAAATGTGACGGACGAAGCGAAAGAAAAAGTTTAGCATAAACAAAAGAAAGTTTCAAAATCGTCTACCCACAACAAAGTCCTATTTAAGAGAAGCATATTCAAATCAGGAAGCACGGTACAAACGTAGCAAAAACCAAACGGAAGTTAAACGAACAACGCCTGGTCTCAAACAAGAGATTGTTTACAAGCATAATAACGTCAAATCGCAAGAACAATGCCTAACCTGCGATCATAAAACAAAAGTGTCACAAACAATACAACAACAAACAAAAATTATAAAAAACAGAACAACAAACAATCATTACAAGCAATACAACAACAAATAAACATCACAAAATATACAACAACAAGCAAATACCAAACCGTACAAATACCACAAATAATACAACAACAAACAAGCAATAAAGACATTAAAAACATCCCATACAACACAACAACATACAAGTACCACAAACAAAACAACAATACAAACCCGACAACAACATCAATTATAATGATATCACGACAAGCAGAGAGACACGGTGGGTGACACAAACAACACACACGACACCAACTCAATAAAAACAACAGCCCACACAACATGAGTTATGCTCGCATTATCATCAACAAACATGGGCCAGGCGAGATTGTTCTAACTTAACAACAACTCATAAACGTAAACACACTCATAAACAGAAACACAAAAATAAAATATGATAAAACTGGCTGTAACAGTTTGAACAGTATCAACTGTAACAAAGATCAACTGACAACAAACGCATTCGAATTTTAAGTAATAATTATGACAGCGGCATGGGCAACTTGAACAACATCAACAGCATTATCAAATACACGAACATCAACAACAAAAACCAACTAACAACAAAAAAACAGACGAACAACCAACTAACAAACAAACAAATACACAAAAACAAACGAACGAACGAACAAACACTCAAACACGCAAACAAATAAACACACAAACAAACAAACACACCAACCAAGCATCCATCAACCGAGCGAATATCCTTAACATTAACAAGCCATTAATCAAGGGGCACAAATCAAGTGCTGACACAGCTTGAACATAATGCAATTCAATTCATATAAATGTCCCCTGCCTTATTAGTACTACAACTAGAACTTCAAACGCGCGCGCACACAACACACACACACTCAACACACAACACACACACACACACACACAACACACACAACACACACACACTCAACACACAACACACACACACACAACACACACACAACACACACACACAACACACACACAAAAAAGCACATACACACGGACAATACCACAAAAACCCACATTCACACATTAATCTTATTTTATTAATATTGATTCATCTTCGTCATCGTTTGAGTTAAAAAATGCAAGTTCGTTTGTTCTTATCCGGTCGTCATCAATTATTCAGTGGAGGTCCTATTTTATCATCAAGTCCATTCAATAGCGTGGCACATAAATAATGATAACATTATCCATATCATTATCCAGCGTTGGAGTTGTGTATGTAGGTAGGTAGGTAGGTAGGAAGGTAGGAAGGTAGGAAGGTAGGAAGGTAGGAAGGTAGGAAGGTAGGTAGGTGGGTAGGTAGGTAGGTAGGTAGGTAGGTAGATAGGTAGGTAGGTAGGTAGGTAGGTAGGTAGGTAGGTAGGTAGGCGGGTGGGTAGGTAGGTAGGTAGGCGGGTGGGGTAGGTAGGTAGGCGGGTGGGTAGGTAGGTAAGTAGATCGGCTTGTAGAAACATTATCTAAATAATCATTATTTGTTGGAGTTGAACATTTAATTTAACTTCATTATTCAACACCTCGTCATTACCTTCTTGTATGGGGTCGTTAATTTCAGCCTACTGGCAATTTGTTTCACATTTTCCGCTTGGTGGCCATAAAATAACATTGTAGATAACAATCAACATATTTTTTGGTTATTGCGTGAATATTGTTATCGTCCAAAACAACAAAATTGAAAACATTTCTTGTTAGTGATTCACATCAAGATAGAAATCATGGGTTACTTTTTCAAATGTTTCATTCATAACGCCGTCCATTATTCGCCACCACACTCAACTGCAAGCGGTGGTTTAACAAATATGAGCCGCTAGAAAGCAACTCCAGGACAAATGCACCCCAGAGTAACAGTGTAGAACATTTATGACTTTTATAACATTTATCACCGTTAATACACATAAAAATTTTCAAAACCCGCTTCTTAGCCATTGCACATCAAAACACAAGATACAACAACACACAAACTCAGATCACATTACAGCGCACACGCATGAAATTACATGACATTACATCGAATTACATCACATCATATTGCATGACATTACACCCCATCAAATTACATCACATCACATGATAATGCGTTACTTTAAATCAAGTTGATCGTCATATCACGTAACATAACTCATTATTCCACAGCGTATCGAGTATCATCACGCCACATCGGCTCCATCACATCACATAGAGGCAGATCACATTACGTCAGACGTCACATCACACCATATATCCTCTTATGGTAACGTCCTTTCACTCATTAAAACAACCACAGGTAACACTTTGTAACATTAAACTACGATTCATAACATTACATAACATCAAATTTAACGCTGCGATAAAGCATTCAAATGATGGCAAAGATGTGAAGGGTACACGCAAATATATGCAAAATTTATTGATTGAAAATAAAATTATGTGAAACTAACGCTGAGCAGCTGCATTGGCAATATTGTCAATACAATCATTTTATCGAATTATATTTCAAAAAATAATTAACATGTGATAACATTGACAACAACGGCAACGACGATAACAACAACAAAATAAATTATATGGCGTTCCAAATCATTAACTACACAACAAAACAAATGGCATCAAATATACATCACAAACAGCAATAACATTCGAACAACAATAAAAATAACATTGAAATATCAATAATATTCAAGCATCAACAAAAATCAAAAATAACAGCAACTATAATAAAAAAAACAAACTCACACAAACACACAAGCAACACGTTTGAGAGCGAGAAAAAAAGCAATTAACCAACACCCCTGCCGAAATTGAAACGACCAGAAGAAAAATGTCGTCACTTCCGTTACGAATCGAACATCACGTGATCGAGTTGCTGACGTCACGCACCAACCGGAAATCGAAGATACGTCTCAGTTTCTTTGGCATTTCAGTTGTACGTATTTTTGATTCGCAACTGCTCGATGAAATACTTGAAGGAAATATGTGCACAGTAATGAGATTTTTGCTGTGAACGTGTTGTTGGATGTGCCGGTCTTTCTATGAGAATTATATTCATGTCATTTCATCATTGCATTAAGATTTGATAAACCTAGTAGGTAATGAAAACAGTTGTGCGATAATTTTTATAATATTCGTGGAGAAGTGGTAGGTGAGGTACGTGGCAGTGGGAGGTGGAGTCAGTGAAGGGAATGGGATGGGTGGGAGTGGGAGGTAGAGAATAAGATGTTAGTTGTTGTGTGAGATATTGAATGTTAGTTGTTGAGTTTGTTGTTGGTGTTGCTGTTGATATGTGTGTTAATGTGATTGTTGTTTGTAAGATATTGTGTTAGTTGTTGTATGCAATTTTGTATGTATTGTTGTGTTGTTATGAGAGTTGTTGTATGCATGTTTGTATGAATCGTTGTGTTGTTGTGAGAGTTGTTGTATGCAATTTTGTATGTACTGTTGTATTGTTGTAAGAGTTGTTGTATTGTTGTAAGAGTTGTTGTATGCATGTTTGTATATACTGTTGTATTGTTGTGAGAGTTGTTGTATGCAATTTTGTGTGTTTTGTTGTGAGAGTTGTTTTGCTGAGGTGACCTTTTTTTTCTGAGCCTGCTTCGCGCTTAGTTGATAAATCGCGGTTTGCTATTTTTTGTTAGATTTTTATGCTATTGACGTGTTTGTTTGTGATGATTTTTAGTTTATTGTAACAAATAAAATTTTTAATTTATTAAAATTCTTTTTGCGGGTTTATCATTGTTGTTGTTGTTTTTGTTGTTGTTGTTGTCGTCGTCGTCGACGTTATTGTTGTCTCGTGATTTTTTACCCAGAAGATGTTGTTGTAACTTTTAAAAATTGTGATAATATTTTTTTATTTGCTTCTTGGAATGGTCAACGATGTGATGTTTTTGTTTGATGACGAGTTGTTGTGAGTTTTGTTGTTGCTTCTGTTGATGTTGTTGTTGATGTTATTATTCATGTTGGTGTTGTTGATATCATTGTTGTTGTTGACGTTTTTGTTGATGTTGTTGTTGACGTTTTTGTAGATGTTGTTGTTAATGTTGTTGTTAATGTTATGGCTGATAGATTTATTATTTATTACATTTGATGTTTTTGTTGATGTTGTTGTTGATGTTGTAGTTGCTTTTATTTGTCATTGTTCATTTGTTGTAACGTTTGTCACTAATAAAAAATTTTTTTTTAAACTTAAATAATGTTGGCTTAGTCTAACCTTGATGTGTTGTTTATTTTCAAGTGTGTATGCAGTATGCGTGCTGTAATAACGAGAATAATAATAAAATTTATTATGTTGCTGTTGTTGTAATTACTCGAAGCGAATGTTGAAATGTTGTTGATCATGTTTCAGTTAAATTACCATAACATTAACTCTTAGCTGAGATGATGTGGTTATAAATCGCGGATAGTTATTTTTTGCTATTTAATGCAGTTGTTGTCCGCGGGTTTGCCATTGTTATCAACTTGAAATTAATTGTCCTTGGACGTACTTACAAAATGCTCTACAATTCGAATCTGGTGTTGCTTCATAATTGATAGGTTGTTGTGTATGAGTCTGTATGTGTGTGTGGGTGTGTGTATGTGTGTGTGATCGGTGTGTGTGTTTGGTATGTGTGCTACACAATTGATAGTTTTTGATTCCTTAGTGTCAATTTTACGGAGCATTTTCGTTTTCGATGAATGTTACAACAGGTGTTGTTTCATTGAGTGTGTGTTGCTGTTTGTTTGTGTGATGGTTTATGGTGTTTCGTGTTTGTGCGTTTTAATGGCAATAGTATTCAAAAATACTTAGGATACTGGATTGGATATAGACAATGATGCATTTTTTTACAATTACTTGATGTCAGATTTATTTGTGAGACATTTTTGAATTAAATACTCCTCAATGATTTTTAGAAAAACAAAAATCTATGCAGTTTCTATCATGAGTCATTTAGAAACTTACAACATAACTGACTCTGGAGTATGAATAAGTGAACACATCCTATCGATCGAGATTGAAAAAAATCCTTTTCAGTCCAACAGACTTACATTTAGCTACATGAGGCAGCTCGTTAACATTACATTCATCCATCCAATTATCCAAACATCCAGTGTCAAATTTAGGGAGGGCCGGGGCCATGACCCACCCCGTTGTGACCAGTGTTTTTTGGTTTTTATTAAAAGTCATTAAAACTCGGTTTTTAGACAAGAAAACACAACTTTAAGCTAAAAAATTTATCAAAAATTGGCGTGATAAGAAAAAAACGCCAGCCCCATTTCTGTCCCCTATCAAAATTTTAACCCCCCATCACAGTGCCGGAATAATGCAAGGGCAACTTAGCCAAAAGCAGAAACCTACTTTCAAAAGGTTTTTTTAACAGACTTTTAAATTTTTTACTTAATTTGAACAAATCTAAAATTTTTCTTTTCAGTTTTCTGTTAGATTTTTTCAATTGTTTTTATCTTCGGAATCGTCACAGTTTACCACTGATTTTAGCAATTGGAAGCATGATACAAAAAAGCTTTCATAACATGAGGGTAGTGTTGAACACCGAACATCTACGCTGGCATACATAAACAGAACCCGAATGCTCGGATCAATTGACTCACAATTGATGCAACAGTATGAAACCGAGCGTCGATATTGGAAAGAAGTTTTGAAACGTGTGGCTGCAGTTGTGCTTCTTGGCAGAACGTGGTCTGCCTGTCAGAGGTGAAAATTAAATTATTGGATCAGTTTCTAATGGCCTATACTTGGGATGTTCAGAACACCTGGATAAATTCGAGCTTTTTTTAAAAAAAAACATATGACTAATTTTTTAAATGAAAGACGAAGTCATGTAAATTATCTATCATCAAAAATTAGCAAATTATAACTTATAACTTGCATGGGAAAGAAGATGTGTTTGTCATTCTCTGCAAAACCCAGGCCGTCAATAAATGTTTGGTTTTTGTCGATTCCACAATTGACCGAAGCTACACTGATCAGCTTACTCTCATCATCCAATATGTCTCCAGAAGACCATCTACCTGTCAAGTGCTTTCTTACGTTAGTCCCCATCGGAGCTCATAATAGTGAATATATGGCCAACACAGTTTTGCCTACTTTCCAGGAAAATTACATCGGCATCCAAAACTAAATTGGCCAGAGCTATTACAACGCCAGTAATAGGTCAGCTCAAAACTCTGGGCTGCAAGCAAGAATTATGTAAGTTGACAGTCTATTCGAATTTCTTCCTTTTCTGCTCATTCGATGAACCTTGTAGGGTTATGTGCGGCAGAATACAAGGCATCTACACCTTTTTTTAGCCTCTGCTGGCCGACGGACGGAGTTGACAAATAATTTGACAAAAGGCACAGTCGTTTTGAAAAGAGCAGATGCTACAACATAGCTTCCATTCCCATTATGATGCTTGTTATACTATTGCTGTAAGCAGCATAAAGATTCGGGATACACTTTATCAAATTGCATTTCTGATATCGTTTGAATTGCTGTCAACAGGATGCAAGCCAAATCGAGTTTATATAGCACCGTCATCATTTTATTAAAATTAAAAAACGCTGACCGAGTAAACACAGTAAATCATTATGATGCAAAAAGTAGCAAATAATTCTTCTTTAAAAAAATCAAATTTGCTTTTTTAGTTTTGGTTGTTGAAAAAAATTTAAATCAATGAATTGAATGGTCAGTTTAGAAGCCTCCAAATACATTTTGGCCAGGGCCCAAAAAGGTCTTAATCCAGCATTGCCCGTTAATGTTGTCTAGATCCGCCGTTATATCTATTTATTCCACTACCTAACCATCTATCTATCCTTTAGTTCATTCATTTATCCAGCGATCTATTCATCTATTAATTTATTTATCCTCGCCTCCATCTATCCATCAGTCCGCCCATCTTCTGGTTATATATTATTTATTGATTGGTTGACGCATTAGCAGAGCAAGTAACTTTCATTTCAAATGGTCCACTTGTATCGACATCTCTGATTTATCTATCTATCGCCCTTAAGAATGCATCGATATTTTCGTATTAAAAAATCAGAAAGAGAATTGATAGTTTGGTAGACTCTCACTTCGAATGAATAAATTGTTAATGTGTCGTATATAAGTCGTGCAATTAAATAATTGTAAATAATAAAAAATACTGAGATAATAAAATTATATAATTTTTTTTAAACGTAAAATGCTAATACTCAATTGGTTAGAAGTTTTGCTAAGTGGATGATGTAAATTATATACGCAAGTTGTCACGGAGTTTGTAACGCATTTGAAATAGAAAAGTTGTGTAAATAGCGAAGTTTAATTTCATTCATTGTTGCAATATACCTAGTAAATTAATCAACATAACATTTATTTCACATGCGTACACACACATACTCACACACATCCATACACATCCATATAAATAAATAAATAAATATAAATAAATAATGTGATTATAAATATAAATAATACCCATATCAAAATAGCACTAAAAGACGACAAAAACCAATCAAACAACAATGTCAATTTTATGATCATACAGAAAATCTTTGTTGGCGAAATATAAGTCAAAATTCTTCTTGAAGTTGGAAACAGTATCCGATTCAATAACGCATGTCAGTAAATTGTTCCAAATAGATATATATATATTATATATATATATAATAATTTTTACAATATTCTATAAATCATACAGAATTTTTGGCGTTAATATGTTTGAAATTCGTTTTTTCGATTTTTCTCACTAAAGTCTTTTGGTGAACGTTTAGTTTATTAAAATTCAAAATAAACTTATTTTCCGAATTCATGCTGCAAATAAGGCCATATTTCGATTCCGAATGAATCATCATCAGTGCAATTTAGTTTATGTAGGGAAATATTCACTTTGTCAAAATAAACTTAGATGGAAATTAGGTGTCAGGTTTCTTTATTGGCTGGTCCTTCTTCCAGTCACATAAACCTTAGGTTTGACTCCAGTTTTTAAAGCTGAGACCTTTTTGATGAATGTAAAATATTATAAAAAAAACTAGTTTAATATGAGACGTTTAAAAAATAAAATTAAATAAAATTATACATCAAAGTCTTACAAGTATACCGGTCTTTAACCACAGCAGTGAAACATATCTATCTAATCTCTTCTTTTCGTCAGCTTGAGGATCATTAAAATCTTTAGGGCCATCGTGTGGACCGGCCATCAGAAGGACATGTTTGTCACCGGGAGTCTGAATTTTAATTTAAAATTATTCGCTTCACTGTAGATGTAGATTTCATAATTAAATTACAGTTAGTTTAGATATATCCCAAATATGTTAATGGTTTTTGAATACTGCTTAGATTTAACATTTGAAAAAGAATTTGCATATCATGCACATAAGATAGCGTTTTGTCGATAATATAAAATAAATATCACGTCAGCATAGATAATTCACGAGATAATTACATTTAACAAATAAAAATGAATCTTAAGATTGTGCTCAAGCGTGGTTATCGCATATTTCATGCAAATAGGATAGCGTACAAGACAATTCTCAAACGTGATTATCTGACGATCGAATCACAGAGGTTTCTAATTAAAACATAATGCTATTCGATGTAGTACATTACAAAACATCACGATACAATACTATACAACAAAATACAATATAATACTATACAAACATGAAAAAAAGGTCAGGTTTTATGTTTTGAATTTGAAACTAAGAAAGGCTAAAGTTTTTATAAAATAAAGAATTAATAAAAGATGGTTAAATAAATGGTTGAGTGAAGAACTGATCAAATTGAAATGAAAGAAATAGATAAGTGGGTGAATTTCAAAAAACATCAGAAAAGGCAGTCTATTCAACGGTTTACCTTCAAATGCAATGAAAATTTTGCTGTCAATTTAGAATCTGGGCTGCAAGCAAGAATTATGCATGTTGACAGTCTAGTCGAACGTCTTCTTTTTGCTGCTCGAGCTATAGAGAAGAGCTGTTTCAGGCGCCTTCACCGCTTTCATATTTCATAGTATATCTCCGATTCTAAAACGACTTTGTTAATTATCTGACAACAAGCGCGTTATTTTAAAAACTACTGTACTGATGTTTAGATGATTCACAGACCAGGCACTAAAATATTTGACAAATGATAAAGATTAGTGTACCAATATCAGTTTATCTGAGCTCGAATAAATTGAAATACCTAGCTGTTCACATGAGTCATTTGAAGATAAAATCTAAAAATTTAATGTTTTCAGCCTTAAATTGTGGAACAATCCAAATAGCCACTTAGCTAAACCAAATTTGAAATTGTTAACATTTAAAAAAGTGTTTAAAACTTAATTCTTTCCTGGAAAAAAAATTTTTTTACTTTTTTTTTAATAAGAGTGCATCCGATAAAATATATTTTTAATAAGATTTTATAAATATACATTTTATACATACATATATATAGGTATAATATATATATAGGTATATATATATTTGTAGGTATATATATATATATATTGTTGATAAAAATCGGAGCACGTTTCGCGTTAGATTCCTTTTTCATTTTTCGATTTTTCTAACGGTAGATCGTAAATCATTGTCAAGTTTCCCGAGTTCAAAACCAAAATATTTATATTTATTTTAAACCTGATAGAACATTTAAGCATGATAGAACAAAAAAGCTGTTTTTGGTATTATTCGATGTTGGCATACCATCTTCGATGTTCGAATTGAACAAATTCTCAAGTATATATGTATTGTATCTCCACGATGTTAATTCTTTGTCTAATGTAAATAATTAATGGTCATTTAATTGCAATACTTGCATCGATTATCCTTCCAGTCTATATATATATATATATATATATATATATATATATATATATATATATACAGTGTTGTTAAAATACTCACATTTTGAGTATTTAAATACTTTGTCGATATTCAGTATTTAAATAGTATTTAATTACCAAATACTGCTACAAGTATTTAAATACTGGCTACAAGTATTTAAAAATTATTTTAAATATCATGCAGTTTTCTTATGATAGTAGAATTTGCACGTTAATAAAAAAGGATCAAGAGTTAACAAAATTTTATTTTTATTATTTTATATACACCCACATCACATTTTAGTAATCTCATAAATGTTTTCATTAGAAACTTGCATCGATTATCCTTCCAGTCTATATATATATATAAATATTTATTACAACTATTAAATTAAATATATATATACATATATATATTCATTTTGTATCTATATATATACATGAATATATGTAAATCCTCTTCCATAGCAGACTTTGAGCCATTGCGAGCAATAATTGATTATAAACAGAAGCATTGTATACATACAATAAACATCGCTTTAGAGTTCATAAAAAGTGAGAGATATAAAAGTTTCATTATAATCAATGATTCGCTATCCAGCATCCTAGCCATTAAACAATATGGAACAAAAAACGAACTTGTAAAAATAATGAGACAAGAATCCATTCCATAATGAAAAACAATTATTATGGTATTGAGTTGCTTTGTGTCCCGAGTCACATCGGATTACCAGGTAACATGATTGTGGATAAATTGGCATCAGAAGCGCACAACGATCCAATAAAGGACATTTCAATACCTCACACCGACCTGAAACATAAAATAAATAAACATCTATACTCTCAGTGGCAGAATAAATAAAATGAAACTAAAACCCATCTCCATCAAATTTTTCCTGATAAAGAAAAATAGAAAACAGAATTCGTGGCAATCGCTTCACTCTTGGCAAATTATACAACATTCAGTTGGGTCACTCTGATTTGACGCACATCTTTTCAACAACCAAAACAGAGCCTCCTACGTGTGATCATTGTAACGACAAGCTGACTATCTCACACATATTTAAATGTGAAAAAAACTAAAGAAAAAAGATTCGTGCATTTTGTACATAGCAAGATAAACGAAGATTTTAAAACTCGTAGTAATTTAAATCAGTTGATAATTTTTCTTAAAGAAATGGGCTATTACACCAGAGTTTGATTTCAAGCCAAAAATGATGCTTAGTAGCAAGAATAAAAAGAAAGAAAAAGAAAGAAAAAAAAAATTTATAAATAGAATTTT